ACCTTGCAAGAAGGCCTATCCCTAATTACGAGTTCATACAATTCCTAGCATTCCTAGTAATTAGTTCTTAAAGTGCAGGAGCTTAACGGCAACCAATATGCTATTGGGAGAAATTCCCCGGATCTAGACTTCCTCGTACGTTCCCGTATCGACAAAATCAATAATCATGGCAATGAATGAGTTAAACAAAGCAAGCAATAAGCAAAGAGGAAAAACCCTAGCTAAAGATGAAAGAAAGCATATATCTTAATATAAGACATTAAATCAAATTCCATATATGAGAGTTTCACAAGAGTACATTGATTCCCCAACAACAATACAAGGTTTAGTTCACCACATTCATGGTGAAACTAGATGAACAATAATGAAAGAATGAAAGATAGAACCCTAGAAAGAGGAGAAGGTAGCCTGAGCATCCAAGATCTTCCTTCAAGGGATGGAAAAGAGAGTGTTTGTTTCGTCTCTCCCAAAGATACAAACCCTAGGACGTCCTAAAGCTTATATACTATTCTAAAAGAACGGCCCAGAGATTGCTTGCACGGGGGGGGCATTCCTCTAATTGATTGGCACGGAGAGCAACTCCCAAACAGCAGCACGTTTGAGCAGGGGTGTGTCCAGCAATTGGTAGCACACGGTCCAGCAAGCACACACGTCCAGCTTCCACGTCCACACTTGAGCACACGGGTGGCATCCAACAATCAACATTGGATCCACGGTCCAGCAGCGGGCAGCAACACATCCAGGAGGTGCATGAAGAAGTGCATGAAATGAGAAGCAAGGCAACGTGAAGGAGGTGCACACGGAAGTAACAGCATCCACGTCCAGCTTGGAGAGAATGGAGGGTAGCGGTCCAAAAAGCAAAGAAGCAGCACGTCCACGGCCAACACAGTCACACGCTGGAGGTAGGTCTAGAAGTGGGAGAAAAACAGATAGCTGAGCGCCACAGGGAGGAGAGTGGATCTGGAGAAAGAACAAGCAAGCATGGAGGGATATGGGTAGCAGCAGAAAAGTGATACATTTATTCTTTGCAAGCTGGAAGCACACTTCAATTAGGTGACCTAGAGGGGGCTGGACGTGGGAGGTTCCAGTAGCCACCACCGAAAGGAGAGAGAGCATGAGAATAGCACGTTGATTTCTTTGAAGGGAGGTTGATACAGCAAAGGGGGGGTCTCGGCTGAGGAACGTGACCCAGCCGCCACTTGTTACTTGTTTATTTTCTCTTGGCTTTTGAATATTGTTTTTGGGCTGGAATCAATGAAGAGCTGATTGTTTATATTATTTTTGCTAGATTCTCATTGCATTTTTTTATTTGGTTGTGTCCACGGAAGAGCAAGGAGCTGATTTATTTTGGCTTGGAGAGTTCATTGGCTGTAGAAAATTGGGGGTGTGCACGGTGATTGAATGATGGACGTGTGAGGTATTTGGCAGCAGAATGTTGTACCCACTCATTTTCTTTATTGATTTAAGAATGAAGAAGTAGAGTAGGTGAATTGTTGTGTGTACGGTGATGGCTGGAAGAGTGGCCACGGGTATTGGATGCATTCTTTATTTTTCTTTTTAAGAATGAATGGATAACGTAGGAGCCAGCAAGGTACGGTGATAGCTTCAATTTTATTCTTTCATTCCTTTTGCAAAATGAGTGACCATATGCGATTAAAGGATTATAGAAGTTGGAAGTCATGTCTGGAAGAATCTGAAACATCCAAATTGTTTGAATTTTTTTCTTGCTTGCCACTAATGTCACGGTCATGGAGTAGTTCCTTATAAGCATTGCAATTTTTAATTTTTGTTGGTAGATGAATTGGTCAAATTAATGTAGAGAAATTTTACTTTCTTTATTTCTTTTATTGCGTCCATATTTATATCGGTTGTATTTCATTTTATGCTTTTATTTAATTTTTTTTTTTATTTTTTTTTTCGGTTGTGTTGAATTTAATTTTGTTCGTTCAATTGCATTCACAAAAATTTTCAAAACCCCCCATTGCGTGTTTGGACTT